ACAGTACTACAATACCACAGTGCAAGTGTACCATGATACCAGGGTACCACAGTACCAGAGTACCACAGTATTACAATACCAGGGTACCACAGTAGTAGAGTAACATTGTACCATGGTGTCAGGGTACCCCAGTACCAGGGTACCAAGGCCTCTGTTGTTTCTACTCCAGAGAAGCCAGCAGAGAAAAGAACCAGACTGAGGACAGCTCCACTGCCCTTCATCCAGGACCTGGACAGGCAGGAAAAATAACCTCTGAACCCTGGTACCCTGGACCTCGCCTTTTTAAGCTCCTCCCACCTGATAGGAGAAGCACAAGTCTGCAGGGACTGCTATTCCCTACACTGTGGGAYAGTTTTTTGGCATACACACCTACTTGTGGGCGACCTAACTGGTACTTATGGGGACCTGAGTCTAGTCCCCATAAAGGGTAATGCCGTTGGTGGGTCGGGGGTTAAGTTTAGGACTAAGGTGTGAATTGAGTTTAGGTTAGTTTTAGGGTCAGGTAGGTACCTGTGAGGTTAGGGATTAGGGTTTGTGGTCAGGGTTAGGCTGTAGAAAATGATGGAAGTTAATGCCAGGTCCCCATAAAGATAGCTGTACCAGATTGTGGGATTTTATTGTGATGGGCCTGCAGTTTTGTTCAGTTAATGTTTAAATGTTATACAGTTAATGTCAGCCAGTGTGTGTGTGTGTGTGTGTGGTTATATAATCTAGTTTTATGTAACATCCTGAGATAATCTGCTGACAACTATCACCCACACACTCTGCACCACAGCCTAGCCTTTATTTTGAAAATCTGTTCAGAAACATATGAAGTCAAATAAAAGGACAGATCTGACTGATTTCTGATTAGAGCTAATCAGAGAACTGTTTCTGCCACCAACACCTGTCTCACCTGTCTGTCATCCTCCGTCTCTTGCCCAGAGGAAGCAGCAGCGTCTCGTCTTTTGATTCTGTCTTCACCTGAACTCCTCTCCTACGGCCACAGGCAAACAGGTAAACAAATAAACAAACAAACTGTAAATAATCAAACAGAGCTGTCAGCTTGTAACATCACAATAAACCTTTATGATTAAAGTTTTTCTTTTTGTTTCACAATAAAAGCTTTGGATAAAGTTGTACCTGTAAGGTTGGCTGCTAAGGTGATGAATAGCGACAGGTACAAGGGTAACAGATCTCTCTCCTCCCAGCCTATCAGGAAGCACCACCTCCTTACGCATGTTAATGTCTGAGTATGGACACCCAAAGGCACTGGACAAGTAGGAGACAAAGGACAAAGACAAAGGGACAATTAAACACTATTTAAAACTGGTAAAACAGGAGTTTATTACTACAACAATTTATACCAACTGTTACCTCAGAATACGATGGTAAAAAAACAAGTCGAAATCATCAAACCAACTCAGGTGTGTCCAGGTTCAGTCCAATTAAAGACAATTATTACCAATTCAAACCTATCCTGTTTCTTTACAGGACATGATGGAACACTCAGTGCAGCTGCTTCATCTCAAAGCCACGTGTGGTGAGACAGGTACCTGTGGTGTCCTGTGTATTTGGCTCCTTTAATGTGTCCGACTCCTCGGCAACCCGCAGTGGGACACACTCCCTGAGAGGGGGAGGACAGAGGGGACGAACCTGTCCATGAAGAACACAAATGTCTTACTAAGAACATCGACTGACTATGAATGACCCGTCTGTCCTCCGCTGACTTGTTGGTCTTTTTTGACCTGTGTCCCTSTGAACTGTGGCAGGTGTCCCTCTCACCTGGGGGTGGTTCCAGGGGGTGTCCTGTGCGCTGACACCAGCCGACAGGATGCAGGTCGCAGTGGTCGCTGTCGAGCCAAATATCAAACTGTGACGACCAGCCGTCATAATGGATCTGCAGGTAAACAACAGGTGGATCAGTTCATGCATATACAAACAGGTAAATATACACAAGTAAATATACACAGGTAAATATACACTGGTAAACACACACAGGTAAATACACACTGGTAAACACACAGGTAAACACAAAGGTAAACACAGGTAAACACACACAGGTAAAAACACACAGGTAAATACACACAGGTAAACACAGGTAAACACACACAGGTAAACACACACAGGTAAATACACACTGGTAAACACACAGGTAAACACAAAGGTAAACACAGGTAAACACACACAGGTAAACACACACAGGTAAACAC